TAGACTGATAATCACGTTTACGCAAAACAAAGAGAGCAATACATAAATTCCTCTAACCTTCAAATTCATACAAGAGCAAGACAATAGTAGTGGTGATTGTCAAGGTCCCAGTGCTATATAATGCTGGCATACACTAACAGCAGCCATATACTATCGGGCATAATAAGAGAGCGGAAAATGAAATAAACATTTGAAAAAATAAAATAGGCCATGGTCTAGTGGGAATTAGCCTTGGCCAGATCCATTCGGAGCAACTGCGGTGTCAGGTAGGTTATTATGAGACTAGCACCTGCGCGTCGAAAGCTCAGCATTATCTCCATGGCAACCGCCTCCAGCGAGCTCAGGGCGCCAGACTTGACGGCTTGCCATAGCATAGCATATTCCCCGGACACATGGTAGACGGCCAAAGGATGGTGTGGCAGCTGATAAACGGAATGTGTGTGATGTGAAATGATTAATAATTCATAGCTCTATTGTCGTAAATATGATTATGTGAAAGTATGGTATTACAATAAACCTCTCCAAACCCCCAAGTCTAATGGCCGTTGATAATTTTCGCTGTTTGTGCTCGCTAGAGATCCTGGCGATAGATTAGAACTCGCCAAGCCTGGGTCGCTTAATTTGATTTAAGGACTGATGATTGGGATTTCCCACAATCTGATAAATATACCTCAAGATGCCATTACATTCCACTCATCCAGACTAGAGCTGACTGCGGTTTCGACCTCTCCTGGACTTGTCTCATCAGCAGAAGTCAATATCGGGTCGTGAATAACGTGATTACGTAACCATTCCAATCCACGGCCACGAGTGCCAATCGGTCGGTCAAAGTGCAGATAAGGTAAGCACATTTATGGTGGGATCGTCGAATAAACAAAAACCTGTTTGCCATTACGATTGACGGCGGAATGGTAACGTCGCCACGATACTCACGATCTGTGCTCGAATCTCATTGGGGATGGTGATGAGACTACTTCAAACGAGATCAAAACTGCGGTCCATCCTGGAGGAGAAAGCCTTTTGGAAGGTAAGATTGAGTGAAATTCAATGGTATACTGAGTCATTTTTGTCTGATTGTGGGCAAAATTCAACTATCCGTCCTTAAATCATCTTTAGTAATCTAGTGTGATCAACTATTCATTCACAAATTGCTGTTAGTCTCGAGAAGTACTTATAGTGAAAATATCAAGGATGCATTCTCGAATGAAATTCTGCAAAGGATATGAGCAATAGCATCACACTCAACAATAGTAAATCGACACGAGGTTCCAAGCTCTCCCGTTAAGGCATTTATACATCATGTGGACTGCATTCAGCTCAACAGCCTTATGCAGATCTAATTTGGTAGGGGGCATTGTACACAACCTGCTCACGAATGGAATGCAAAAGCTCGAACTCAGATTTCTAAATATTTATATCTCAAAATTTGTGGATCCTCGTCATCAAAAGATACTAAACAAATTCGCTCTAAACATTATGACAGCCCTGTCTGAACTCGGTTAGTCCGCGCGAATTTTCCGCCCTTTAAGGAGTCCCTTTTGCCAATGTTAACATGCTAGATGTAGATTCTGGGCATGAGTATGCTTGTATATAGAGATATACCGTATTTCCCCATGTATAAGCCACCCTTTTTTTCCAAAATTTCCAAGCCCAAAAAGTAGGGGGG